ATCCCATCAAGTTGTATCTATATAAGATAATTTTGTTCACACCTAATCTAAGATGTTTAAATGAAATTTAAAGCACCTTGTTATCACATCCACAAATATGAAAACGAACCAACATTTACGTACTATTTGACAGACTTGATGGAAATGTGAGTCAGATAATGTTAAGAAAATCTTATCAATGAAAATTTCCTGTTGATAAAAAAATGACAGTATGTCAATTAGGCCTAAGGCACATTGGCCCTACCCTCTTAATGAACAACTTTGCATGTTCCATGAGCCTACATATAGAACTAGAATTCTCAACTAGCAAATCAAGCCTTATCTTATCTAAGCCTCTCTGAATTCATCAACCTCTCTTCTTTTTCTTCAATCCAATTCCTCTTTTTTATAGCAGACAATAATCAAAGTTCCTCCATGTTGAGTTTCTTTCACCTTAGTACCTGAGGGGATCTTAACAGACTACTTTTTTGAATTTGAATAATTGTTCTTGTCTCTGCAGCTAGAGTCTAGAGATCTTGTTCTTCCAAATACATCATCCCAATTGCTTTTCACTTTTCAAAACTCGTGTACCTTTCTTCTCTTTGGTATTTCCAAAAAATTTCTGTTGTTTGGTCTTTTTCCTTTTCTTTTTGTAGTTTTGTGTGCTTCTATCTAATTTCTCCCTAGCCTCTAGACACAAATTCATTTTTCTCTTCTTTTTGTTGCATAAAGTTTCTTCGGAAAATTTGAGGTCTCTATGGCTATGGTTACCTTAAAATCAACTAGCAAGGCCAACCTCTCACAAACGTTTCCCTGTGACAACAACAAGAACCGTGATGCCTCCTTTTCTTCATACTTGAGTAGCAATGAGGAAACCCTTGTACGTAAACTTGTTGATCAGTCAGGTGAGGAACATAACAATCACTTGGCAACAAAGAAGGAAGAAGATGAAGAAATTGGAGTATTTGGAGCTGAAAAGTACTTCAATGGAGTAATGGACGAGGAGACTAGCCCAAAAAGCGGCAGCAGCTCAAAGAATTACCATCATAACAAAGAGAAACGAGTTCAACCTGGAACTCCAAGTGTTCGTTCTGAATCAAGTTGGAACAGCCAAACTTCTCTATTGCAAAGCCGGTTGAGAAATCCTTATCAGAGTAATACAAGCAAGGCACAGAGACGGAAGAAGAACTTTTTTGCAAGCCTTGGTTGCAAATGCTCTTGTTCGGATAAGCATTCGGTTGATGTCGATGAACATGTTGGTGAAATCAGCTTCAAGAAGAATAATGGTGCTGCTAACAGTGGAACATTAGTCCATGGCAAAGCAAGCACAACAAGCCCCATTAACAACAAACCTGCAGCTGTAGTAGACCTTGTTGGTGAAGCTCTAGTTGAGATGAACAACAGCCAAAAGCTTGATAAGTTGGGAGTTGGGTTGAGCAGAGAAAACTGTTTTACTTTCCCATCTTCAAAACCTGGGATGGGGAGTTTGCCAGTGAAGATGCCTTTTCAAGAACAAGAAGAAGAAGAAGCAGAGAAAGTGAGGAAATCTCTGGAGGTGTTTGGTTCTCCTGTGTTTGAGAAAAGGAACAGGTCTTTAGGCCTTGACAAAAGGCTAACAATGTTGCCTTGGGATGAGTTTCCTGCAAAATCTGGCGGAGTGATATTCAATAATGAGTCAGATAGTGATGCAAGTTCAGATCTTTTTGAGATAGAGAGCCTCACAGGCAAAGCCAACCCTTGCATGACCCCAACAACTTGTTATGCCCCAAGTGAGGCAAGCATAGAGTGGAGTGTGGCCACTGCCAGTGTTGCTGATTTCTCTGTGATGTCAGACTCTGAAG